TATATATATGTATGTATATATATATATACATAAATCTACATGCATATATCTACTTGTGCTTGCGCACACACATGTATGTATAAACCTGAAAATTATGGAACAAGGCTTTGTTTGAGTTTGACTTGTTAAGAAAATAAGCTCAAAGTAACTAGTCAATATCAGCTTACCAGAAAAAGTGAATTGAATGTGAGCTTCTTAATTAGCTGAATGTGAGCAATTTGTGAATGATGACTTTTATGAAAGCTCAAGGTAAAAGATGCATTAATAAGATCGCCGATAAAATTGAAGTGTAAAGGTTGAGAGGGAAAAAATGATGTAAACCAAACGATAAAATTTATGCCAAGAAATTTAAATCATATAGTTCCATATTAATATATTTAAAACGATTAGTAGCGTGCTAAACAAGAATGACTGGAGCATAAGGATTGATAAAACCAGCTCCAAATTGTTAGGAGAAGGCGAATTATGTTGATGATTTCCTCTTACAATTATTTCTTGTCTTTCCTTTGAATCGATAACTTCTATTGAAGATAAGGTAGTGGAAATAGACTAATTACTTTAGTCGTACATAATGAAGGGTAGAAGAACTGCCAATATGACTATTTGTGATGCTTGTTTAAATTTAGAAGTAAGAAGAGCTAAACTGAAGGTAACTTGGATATAAGCGAAGTAAAATTTGTGCAGCATAGGTTTAAAACTATATGCAACACTCAACAAGGATGAATGAGATTCTTAATGCCAATCTAAAATAAAGTTAATAATCTATCCAACCACCACCACAAGTCCTAACTGAAAATGTTAGCCCATCATGGGTATTGCATACCAAGGCATATGTTTTTGAATTCCAATAGGCACGAATGGAAGAACTTTAAGCTAGAAAACAAACTTATTTAATAGATAGGTTTTGCTTTTGTTTTTTTACACTTAAAAGCATTACAATCAGTATATTAGAATCTTTATGCATTGTTCTTGCATAATATGTTGTGTTTTGGAATGAGTTGATTGATGTTGCCTCTATATTTTTGTCAATCTTAGCTTTTTCTATTTATTTTCATCCAACAAAATTTTTTAAAATCATGATTTCTTAAATATTTCCTCTCTACTATCACTATCCGGTATTCAGAATGTATGGATTTCTTGGCTCGTAAATGTGCATTGCTATTTTAGCTGACCAGTTCACAATTGAAGTTAGGCTCTTCATTTTCTTCTACAGTGGCCAATTTTTTGAGGATATTCGGTCGCAATTAGAAAATGAGTTCATGAAATCTCTTGACGCTGAGGTATCCATCCTTCGCTTTCATTGATTCCTTGTTCAACTTCTGGAGTTCTAATGCATCTCTACTTTCATTTATTTCAAAGAGTATTTAATTCTACTTTTGTGCATCTCTACAGACTAGTGATGACCATGAAGTTGAAGCTATTAGACCTTTGCCTTGGTATCCTGATAAGCTTGCTTGGCATTTGAATTTTTCTCGCATGCAGCTGAGGAAGAACCAAACACTTGAGAGGTACTGGTTGTCATCATGTTAAAATTTTCAAATTGAAATTGATTTATGGAGGTCCGTTTCTTTGATTGTTCCTGGAATTTTGTACTACATGCATGGCATGTCTTGGTTCCTTAGCAAATGTTTGGATGTGGAAGCACTACCTGTATGGCTGTGTGTCCAACTCAAAGGTCAATTTTGTAGGAAGGTTATGTTTTTATTTAGGCAGCATGTGAAATTTCCGATTGTATTTAGTGTTTTTAAAGTGTTAGGTGAAGCACAAAGTGCAAGAGTTCCTTTTTGTTTCTACGCACAAAACATAGAATAAAGCAACACTATTGCTAACTAGAGCTCTCATGGGATGTATATATACTAATAATAATAACAATAATAATAATAATAATAATAATAATAATAATAATAATAATAATAATAATAATAATAATTTAATAATCTAATTAAACTAGAGCTCTCGTGAGTGTTAAGTGAAACACAATGTGCAAGAGTTTCTTTTTGTTTCCACGCACAAAGTATAGAATGAAGCAACTTTTTTACTAACAAGAGTTCTCCTGGGTATAATAAATCAAATTTAAACCACATTAGTTTACAATTTATTAGTAAATATAATGATTGTTTCAATATAAGCACTAAAAATTCAAAATATGAATTATTTGATAAATGTTTTAAAACTTACTAGAAAAATAAAAGAACATCATGTAAATATTTAATTTACAAGACTATCTTCAAATGTAATCTTGCAAATTGAAATTTTTAATAATTTTTATGATGCATGGAAATTACTAGAGGATTAAATGTAGTGTGGTCGTTTGATGTTAAGATGTAACTTCAAGATTGCATTGTGAATTAAAAGAAAAAATTAAAATTATAAGTATCTTTAGTTAAACATCTAAGCTAAAGTCAAATGCTGAAAATCAAAGTCTTATAGTATAAGCTCAAGGGGAATTATCAAGCAATATTTTTTTTCAAACATATTTTTGTTTTAAGTGAAAATAAGACCATAAAATTAAACTAAAAATAAAACAAAAAACAAAACAGAAACAAAACAAACATAACCAAAGATGCTTAAATTTATTTCTAGTTTTAGTGGTACCAGAGTTAACCCAAACAAATATTATTACCGAAAAAGTCAATAGGTGGTTACAATCAACACAAGGAAATGAAAAAACAACATACACAACACTCAACTAGGTTGGTATCCCATAGGGGAGGTGGTCGGTTAGTTGTTTGGAAGGCTGCGTGAGGCGACAACAAGGGGACGATAGTGGCAATAAAGAGAAGGCAAGAAACTATCGGAACAACGAGAAAGTGGTTTGTTTTGGGTTGTGGCAGCGAGGATAAGGGCTGGACAACAATAAAGCGGTTCGAGGAATGGTTTTGGGTGGTGGGAACATTAGCAAAACAATCTGGAATAGCTGTTCAGGGCTGCAACAGTGAGGGGGAATGACGACGATAGCAACGGGGAGGGCATGGGACTTCGAGACAACAAAAGAGGGTTGTTCCAAGGGTGCGACAACATGGAGGATGGCTGTTCAGCGTGGATCTGCAGGAAGTACAACAAAAAGGGTCTTGTCAGGGTGGCCTGCATCAAGGAATATGTGGCAGCAAAGCGAGAGGGATGTAGAGGATTTGGGAAAGATAAATTAGACACATTGGTTGATCTTTTCATATGCTGATAGTTTCAACTTTTTCCTTCCATATCCATTGTTCCATCTTTTGCATTATACTTTTCTAGAGATATCTTCTAGGGAATAACAGACTGCCCAACGATGTTTGACTCAACCTCCGAGTTGGATTCAATGTAATTGTACATAAGAGAGGTTCTGTTTTTTACTTTCTGTTTCATCTTGTAACCTTCTTTAATTTGATTCTTTTTTTATTATTGAGAATTATTGAATTTATTTGGTTATAACTTGATGTTTGTCGTCATTAGTAGTGGACGTTTTTTCTTTTTCTTTGTATTTTACTTCAAATCTCACTTCTTTTCCTTCTTTTTTCATCACAATATCTTCTTTTGTGGTAATTTTGCTTTGTATATTCATTTCTCGTTTTATCTTAGACTTGATAGTATTTTTACTCTTTCCTTCTCGCTGTAGAAAAATCTTCAAGTTCTCCCATCACTGAGATGCAATTTTCTTTAACCTGCTGATAACTAGTTTCACCATTATGCCCAGTGGGATGCCCTGGTACTCAAATACACATTTCATTGTCTGGAGCCACTCAATGACCTTTTCCAGACTTAATTGACCATCAAAATATGACAAATCCACCTTTACATCAAGATACTTGCTGCTCAGATATTTCATGTTAAATCTTCAAAGTAGTGGTTATTTATCCCTGAAATCCACTTGGTGGAAGAGATTCACTCCTTTTTTTTTTGATCTGATAAGTCATCATTTTATCTGAGTTATTTTTCCGGATTATATCCTTTTAAAGGCGGTAAGTCTTTGTTAGAGTTGAAGGATTTCCCACTGCACCTCTTCCATGGTAAGTTCCTAATCATCTCTTTCTGAATTTCTCATAAGCGGCAGTGGAAGGGTGTGTAGGGGTGTTGTAGGGTCGGAAACAAAATTTTTTAACTCGGTTTGAAAAAATCAGGAAAGGAAAGGGTTTTGAGTGGAGATAGAGTTGGGTATTGGTAGATACTAGAAACCTTAAGATGGGGCTAAAGTCTAGCTCTTATACCAAATGATACCAGAGTTAATCCAAACAACAATAAGTTAACTAATATTATTACTTAAAAAACTAATATTTGGTTACAACCAACACAAGGAGTTAGAAAACAACAAATACCACGCTCAACTAGGTTTGTATCCCATGGTGGAGGTGGTCTTTTGGAGGTTTGGAAAGCTGGATTGTGGGGCGACAACAAGGGAAAGATAGTGGCAGGAAAGGGAAGGTGAGAAACTGCTACAAAAATGAGAAGGTGGGTTGTTGTGGGCGATGACAACAAGGATGATGGGCTGGAAAGCAGCTAGGAGGCACTGGAGATAATTTTGGGCAGCGTGAACAAGCAAAACAGTCTGGAACGACTGTTCAAGGCAGTGGCGACAACGAGGGGGAATGCTGGCGATAGTGTGGAGAAGGCGTGAGACTACGAGACAACAAAAGGAGGGTTGTCCCGAGGGTGCAACAACATGGAGGATAGCTGGACAATGAGGAACTACAGGAAGAACAACAAAAGTGCTGCTGTCAGCACTGCCCGGAGCGATGAGGAATGTGTGGCATCAAAGCTTGAGGGATGCGAGTGGGGAAGGATAAATAACCACCTTGGAACAAAATACAGTCGGAGCACCACTCGACCATTGGATACGACCCTAGAAGGGAACACAGGGATCCAGACGGTTGTCCTTAATAAAAACACGACAAAACTAAAACCTAAACACAACAAAGGCACATAAATAGTACTTGGTCAGTTAGGAGCGGTCCTCTCACAAGAAGGTGATAAATCCATGTAAGGAAGGTTAGATGATCCTCATTTTATTGTAATGAACCGGTCCCATGCGCCAGAAGTGAGTTGCGT